CAACTAAATTTAATATATGTGCAACACATCTAACATGAAAAACTTTATTGTCAATTGGACATAATCTAACTTTTAATATGTTAGCAACATTTGTATTATTAGATGCATTATCTAATGCGACAAACATTATTTTACCTATAATCATGTAATAATCTAAAACACATAAAATATTTGAAGGTAAATATGCACCACTTATAGTTTATAACTTATAATTCTTTTTTGCAAATTCCAATTATGATCAATCCAATGTGGAGTAATAGTTAAATAATCATTTCCATTAACATTACGAACCATGTCCGTAGTTATAGACATTCTACTATCTAATATGCTAAATAGACAACGAAGAAATTGACAATGTTTACCTTGATATTCAAAAACATCAGTTTTAACAGTATTTCTTGAAAAGCCTCTATATTCCGAATTATAAGTTAGTTAAATATATTCAACAAAACCGGAATTTGAAGGAAAACTATAAGGCAAACCACAAATAAAAACCATTTTAGCTAAATTTTCCCGATCGTATTCCTTATTATATTTACGTTGTGTTATTGGACCAGCGGGGTTAAAAGGATCTAATGTTCCCTAAACCATGTTAGAAGTCCCTATCGATGCATTACTGGCAATATCTAATTCCTTAATTGAAATTCCTTTTTTCTATTGGCTAATGCTTTAGCTTCTTTATATTGATTCGACACACAAGATAACAAATGTCTATTTTATTTATCAAAATTCATAAATTGCCACACAATAGAAGTTTTAGGTCATTGATACTTCACCTTCTCCCTTGTGGGAGGTATAAGGGGTGGATGTCCAAAATTTTGCTCCAGTAAATTAATAGTCTCATTTGGAACTTCTGTCACCAGACTAGTAGGTGTTTCATCTAACTCGTCTTCTCCCAAATCAGCTTCTACTTCTTCACCTGAATTTTCATCAACATTAGGATTAATATTAACATAACGTCGTTCTAAACATTCGTGATCGAGTTGAACATTTGAATCAATATTATAAGGAGTATCATCAACATAAGTAGAATCATGTATGTTAAATCTAACTCTACTCGTTGATTTACATAAAGTACCACCACTTTTACTACTCTTTTTTTCTTTAATATTTTTTTACCAAAATTAAATAATTTAAAAAGTCTACTTTCTTCGTTATTATTATTATTATTATTATTATTATATATATGTATATATATATATATATAATAACACAAAAGTAAAGACGAATAATAAAATATAAATATTATGAAACGGATGTACCAAACGTCTGCGTTAATAGCAGACGTTAAACCGATATTGAAGCTTGTGATTTGTTGTATCTTGTAATTTGTAACTCCAAGTCTCCAACCAATACTTGATAACAAATATGAGATAATATAATTATATTTATTGATATAATATGAAAATTTTTAATTGAAAATTGAAATATGTGGATTCTAATAATATTAGAATTAAAATTGAATAGAAATTAAGATTGACACTTGAGAGTTGAGAGTTGATAGGATATACAAAATAGATGAGAGAAATGAAAATAGATGATTTTGTAAGAAATAGTAGAGGACAGGTGTATTTATAGCATTAAAAATGGGTTAAAGTGTAATTATAATAACTTGAGGGTTTAAAATAAACTTTTAAAAGTAGGGGGGTGGTAGGGGGTGGTAGGGGGTGTTTGGGAACACAAAAAGGGGCATAAATTCATTGTGGGGTCCCACTAGCCATTTCCCCAACGGATCTAAACGGATAGTTTTTTAATTTTTTTTGAAAAAAATAAAAAAAATGGGGGGGGGGGATCCCGCGAACCGGCCGGTTCAACCGGGCCTGGACTAGGTCGGGTCGACCGGGACGCAGGGGTGAACCGGCCCCTGACCGGTCCCCTCATCCCCCACCCCTTAAACCCTGGGGGATGGGCTGGGTTTTGGACGGGTCAGGTCGGGACGCGGGCCATCCCGGTCCCCCGCCATCCAGACACTCAATACATTGTTTTTTACAGCAACAAAGACACGGTTATAAATATTCATTTTTTTATACTCTGTCACTTCCTTAATAACGACCCTTGGAATTTCTCCAAACATTTTCCTCTTCAAATTTTGAATTGCCTTGGCAAATGATTCTTTTCTTTACTTGGCCCGTGGAGTATATGCATGCCGCATATTCTTTGATACAATGCCCTTCACACCAGTCTTGTTTTTTAATTCATTGACACCTTCACTCAATTTTTGAAGATACATGATAGAATCTTCATCATGTTTCTTACACTACTCACACAGAAAAGCAGAACATCGCCTACAAAAGGTATTCCATTCGTGTTGTCCTGCATCACCACCAGCAGTAGCACCATCACAAACACCAACACCAGCACCAGCACGATAAAAAACAACTAAATTATTAGCAACTTGATTACGAAGTCGGTCTCTTCTGATGGTTGTTGTTCCAGCCAATACCATATTTACTCTATCAACAATAGGATCAAAAATTGTTTCAACCAACCCTAGAGTTATTAGATATGGCATTTGCAATTCCTCTTCTGTTGGAATAATCAATAGATGCACAACCTAAAATTGTAAAAATGGGCCATCAATAAGAATTACCATGTTGCTACAGATGATTCATCTTTTGCTACATGTGAAACAAATCTTGCTACATATAAATGATCTGTAGCAATATGTGGCACATGCAGCAACAGACAATTTTATCTGTAGCAACATGTAGCACATGTTGCTACAGATTATCCATCTGTTGCTACATGTGACACAAATCTTCCTACAGATGAATCATATGTAGCAAGATTTGCTTCACATTTTGCTACGCATGATTCATTTGTAGCTACATGTGACAGAAATCTTACTACAGATGATTTATCTGTAGCAACATGTTAACAAAATATTGCCTTAGATAAATTTTCTGTTACTACATGTGCCATATGTTGCTACAGATGATTTATCTGTAGCAAGATTTATTTCACATGTTGTTATAGATGATTCATTTGTTGCTACATGTGATAGAAATCTTGGTACAGAGGATTTATCTGTAGCAACATGTGACAAATGTTGCTATAGATTGATTGTCTATTGCTAAATGTGCCACATGTTTCTACAAAGGATTTAACTGTAGCAAGATTTATGTTACATGTAGAAACAACTGAATCATCTTTAGCAACATAAGAGACATCTGTAGCAACATGTAACTGTAATATACTAATAATATTTTCAACTTACTGCATCAAAAGGAGGGTTAAAAAGATCTGGAATGTGCCCTTCTTTGGTAGTTTATGTTCTTGCCATCAACCATCTCATCATCCTTGGGGATGATCTCTCTTTTTCAGCAATTACGTGATGGGTCAAATAAGGAATGACTTAAAATGCCCAGGCCTGTAAAAAAAGAAAAACATGTCAATAATCAAATGTTTAATTATTACTTAATATAATATAAAAAAATTAAAAATATTCAGCTTTGACATGAAAGCCCATGGAAACCCAAACAATTTACTGGTCTTTTCACCAAAAGGTCTCAACAAGTAGTCGACAATTAAATGAAAGCTCTCATGACCCCACGGGTAGTTGTTGAAAGCATCAATATCCTGACAAAAATTGACATACTTTAAAAGTATGTTCTTGCTCAGATCCTTCGGCAAAAGTATATTATGTGTAAACAAAAGTAATCACAATGACTCCTCGTGCTTTCTTGGTGTATCCTTCCATTCCATCAAACTTAATAAGTTAGAATTTTTAATGCTTTTGCCAACAAGGGACATAAAGTCCTGCTCCTCAGTTGACATCAATTGTTGTCCCGCTTTTTCTACTTCTTTTAGTATTTTATGTCTTCTTCGTGGTTTTTGTTATTACAATGTATTCAGGGATGAGCTCAACAGGAGGATGACCTTTTAGTCTAGTAACTATGACAAACTCTCTTATGCCAAAGAACACTTGCATGCCACAATAGTTATTTGCAATATCATCCTTCTGATTGGGATTTTCAAAAATGAACCTTCTTTTCAGAAGTTCATACACGATGGTCATTTGAAAACGTGGAAGTGGATCAATAGGTAAATCAAGAAAATGACCAAAACAACTACTTTTGAAAATAGTATTCAAATTGATTTCTCTTGAGGATATCCCTGAATTTGACGAATGGTCTTCCCAGGACTGACCTAATAATGTTGTCACCATTAGCATTAGACTACAGATGCATAGGGAAAGTTTCTGCATTGATGATATTAATCTCATCATCACCACTAGCATTGAACTCTTCATGAAGTTCTTGTTCTTCTTCATGGAACTTCATTCATTTTTTCTTCTTGTTCCACAACTACTACTTCTATTTTTTCCACTTCTTCTTGCTGAACTTCATTTTTTTGCCCTTGTTCCTCAACATTTTCTTGTTTTTCATCTTCTTTCTCCACTACTTGTCTTTCTTCATATTCTTTTTGAAAAAATTCTACTTCTGCTGAGCCAAGTTGTGACTGATCAGGTTGGACAACGGAGAGGAGCTCGATAAGAAGAGGCATACACCTTGAGGATTCGTGAATTATTAAGAATCAATCCTTCAATTTTCACTGGTTCGAGCACTATTGAGGATCCGGAGAGTTTTGTTGAGGAGATAAAGAAGGTTTTGATGTGATGGATGTCATTAATGTCGAAAGAGTTGAGCTAAATTCATACTAACTAAAGAATGTTGCTAGGACTTGGTTTTATTACTGGAAGGAGGATAGAGATAATGATGGACCTTGTCCGAGTTGAGCTTGCTTTGAAGAAGATTTTGTTGGGCATTTATTTCCCTAAGAACCGAAAGAATATAAGGTAAGAGAGTTCCTTATACTAAAACAGGACTCATTGAGTGTACATGAGTAACGATTGAAGTTCACCAAGTTGTCCCATAATGCTCCTGAAATGGTTAAGGACATGAGGAGCATAATGAGCTTGTTTGTCAGTTTCTTGGAACTGGCATCAAGCAAAGACGGCATAGTTGTGATGATGATAGGAGAAATGGACATATCCAATGATGGTTAATGTGCAGCAGGTCAAAGAGGAGAAGCTTAGGAACAGAGAAGAGTACAAGAAAGCTAAGAATGGAATAAGTTTGGGCAGCAAAAGGGTAGTTTCAAACGGACAGAATTTCATAAACAAAACGGGTTTGCACCATCATCTGCTGGTGCTCATGCACCCAGAAACAGAGTTGAGTATCATGGCCAGAATTCACAGATTTTCAGATCTTCACCAGCACATCCTCCAAAAACTGTGGTACAGGTAGGTAGTTTGGCTCGTACATGTGCTAAGTGTGGTAGAACCCATCCAGGTAATTGTTTTGATAGCCAGATGGGTTTCATTAAGTGTGGTCAAGAGGGTCACTTCATGAGGGAGTGCCCTAGGCTCAGGCAGAGCATTGGAAATCCCGGCAATAAAGCCCAATTTTCATCAGCTTCTCCACCACATAGGGCTGCACCTAAAGGAGTCACTTTTGTTACTAGCACATGGGCAAATCACATATATGCAATCACTAGCCTCCAAGATATAGAGAACTCTCCAAGGTATTTTCATCTATTTCATATCCCTTGACCAAGTTGACTCAGACGATAGTTAAATATCAATGGTCTGAAGCTTGTGAGAAAAGCTTTCATAAATTAAAAAGAGGTTGAGTACTGCCCCAATTTTGACCATTCCAGAGGGTACTCAAGGTTTTGAGTTGTACAGTTATGCATCTAGAGTTGGGTTTGGTTAGGTGTTAATGCAGAATGGAAGGTTTATATCTTATGCCTATAGATAGTTGAAGGCTCATGAGAAAAATAATCCAACCCATGACTTAGAGTTGGCGGCAGAAGTTTTTTCCTTTAAAATATGGCCTCACTATATGTATGGTGGTCATGTTGATATATTCAATGACCATAAGAGCCTAAAATATGTGTTCACCCAGAAAGAACTCAATCTTAGCAGAGGAGGAGGTTAGAATTACTCATGGATTATAATAAGAGTATTCTTTACTATCTAGGAAAGGCTAATGTGGTTGTGGATGCTTTAAGAAGCTTATCCATGGGGAGTACCACCCATGTTGAGGAAGAAAAGAGGGATATATACAAAGATATGCATAGACTTGTACGCCTATGACTCAGACTTATTGATTCCACAGAAGGAGGAACAGTGATCACCAATGTGACTGAGTCATTATTAGTGTAAGAATTGAAAGAGAAGCAAAACCAAGACCCCATTTTTCTTGATTTGAAGGAAAACGTTCATAAGTAATGATTATTAGCTTTTGAACAAGGGAGAGATGGTGTGTGGAAGTATCAAGGTATATCGTGTGTACTTAGGGTGGATGGACTATAAGAGAGGATCATGGAGGAAGCTCATAGCACCAGATATTCCATTCATACATGTTCCACAAAGATGTACCGCAATTTGAGAGAGGTATATTTGTGGGAAGGTATGAAAAAAGACATTGTTGAGTTTGTTGCCAAGTGCCCGAATTCCCAACAAGTGAAAGAAGAACACCAAAGTTCTTGAGGGTTGGCTGAGAATATAGAACTTCCATAATGGAAGTGGCAAATGATTAATATGGACTTCATCGTAGGATTGCCAAGGTCTAGCATGCAGCACGATACAATTTGGGTGATTTTAGATAGAATAAAAAAATCAACCCACTTTTTACTGATAAAGACTACTCATTCAACAGAGGATTATGCAAATTTATACATTCAGGAGGTGGTGAGAATTCATGGGGTCCGAGATACGATAATTTTAGATAGAGGTGCACAATTTAGTACATTGTTTTGGAAATATTTCCACAAAGGTTTGGATTAGAAGGTGAACTTAAGCATTAGTTTTCATCCTCAGACAGATGGGCAAGTGGAGCGTACTATCCAGACCTTAGAAGATATGTTGAGGGCTTATGTGATTGATTTCGAAGAGAATATACATGATCACCTACCTCTCATTGAGTTTGCTTACAACAACAACTACCATTCAAGCATTTAAATGTCTCCATACAAAGCTCTTTATGGGAGAAGATGCAGATATCCTATTGGGTAGTTAGAAGTTGGTGAAGCAGGGTTGATAGAACTAGATGTAGTTCACCAAGCCATGTAGAAGGTGAATGTGATTCAAGAGAGATTAAAAATTTCATAGAGTCGTCAAATATCCTACACAGGTGTGAGGAGAAGGCCGTTAGAGTTCAAAGTAGACGATTTGGTATATTTGAAGGTTTCACTCATGAAGGGTGTTATAGGTTTTGTAAGAAGGGGAAACATAGTCCCTGGTATATCTTAACTTATAGAATATCCAGGAGGATTGATAATGTAGCTTATGAGTAGCAGCTACCACAAAGTTAGCAACGGTTAGTCCGGTATTTCACATCTCTATGTTTATAAAGTGCATGGGTGATCCTTCATTGATTGTAGCAACTGAAAATGTTGGGATAAGGATATCTTATCATATGAAAAGATTCAGGTGCAGATTTTAGATCGCCAAGTTTGAATGTTGAGAACAGAGGAGATTGTGCCAGTCAAGGTCCTTTGGAGAAACCAAGTTAATGAAGAAGAGACTAGGGATAAGGATCACTTATCCACATCTCTTTAAATCTGGAAAGAATGCAGATGGAGGTACTAATTGTTTTCTTAGTAGTTTATATACTATGAGTATGCATGTTCTTACTTGTTTTTTATTGTTGAATGTTTTTTTCTAAGGTTGCTATTCTTAGCTTAGTGAAAGAAATCTCATTTGAGGACGAATTCTCCCAGGGGGAGATATTGTAACATCTTGTATCTCAAAATAGCTATGAATAATCTAAGAATCTAAAAATAATCATTTTTGAAAAGAAAAGAAGAAATCTGGAATGAGTTAGAGGTTGTACCATATATAGGAGCCATAGCAGTTAAGTGAGTTTTAGTCATTTTGAAATGATCATACCTTCTAACTTAGAATGAGTTAGAGGTAGTTCTTGATATGGTTTGAAAGTCCTTGGAGATATCTCTCAAATGACGCTTAGTTGCGCTTTGATATCGTATGAGGATATATGCCTATCAAAAGTTGGGTTTTTTGATTAAGGAAGGTCCCAATGCGGATTTAAGAAATGGAAAACTAGTCTTTTCACCAATTAATTTCCTATTTCATTTTAGGGATTTATTTTGGGTAAAAACAAGTTGTAGTTCAGATTAAATTTTTTTGACTTTACGCTTACAACATAGAGAAGAGAGAAGAGAAAAAGGAAAGGGAGAAAATTTAAGAATTCGCCAAGAACACCAATGATTTGCGAGTGGAATTCGTCGGGGGTGATCCCTATTAAGGTATGTGAGATCTTTTGTGTTAGGTTAATTCATCCACACACCTTCAATTCAGTGGTTTTAGGATTCTTTACATGTTAAGAATTGAGTTCTTGATGAATCTTGTCGAATTCCTGGTGGTTAAGTTAATTGAATCCACATTGATGTTTGATTTGTAATTTTTGAGTGGTTTTTCGAGTTATGTCTATTGGGCATTGAAGGTATTAATGATCATAAGGGTTTGGCGAAAGAACTATGGAGGTTTAAGGGGCTTAGTATTGAAAAACCAAGAAGAGAAGTTTGGCATCCACACTTGGGCAGCACCAGGCGCAGCGCATCCCATATTTGCTAGATGGCTTGGGGTGGAGCACATACAGTGCACCAGGATGAGGTGTCTGAGTTATTGGCCTAGCACAGTGCGCCCCGGGTGCGCCTGAGTTTGCATTTTTTGCCAAATTTTCATAATATGGCCTTTTTAAGTCCTTCTAAGGTATATTAACACCTTCCAGTGACTCTAATTACTTCAAATGATTCCTAAACACCTAGGAATCACATAAAACATGAATTATAACCTTGAATTCATAATTTCATTAAAGAAAAACAAAGGTCAAGCTCAACGAAGTTAAGAGTCAATTCTAAAGTTATGAAGCAAGTCCAATAAGGCAAAGTTCTTTAGAGTTTTCAAGAGTCGTTATTTAACATTTTAACTTCGTTTTAAGACTCAAGTTTCAATTTAAGTAAAGAGTTGAAGTTATTTTCTTCAAATAAATATAAGGGAACTAAGTATTCCCTAAGAGTTTATAAATGTTTTCCCATTTAAGTTAACAGGAAACTAAGAGTCCCAAAAGTGTTTTTAATAAGAAAAAGGGAACATTGTTTCCAACAGAGCTTTCTAAAGCATACTATTGAGCAATTATCTTAACCCAGAAAAGGAAGTTTGTTTTTAAAGCATGAGCGAAAGTATGTTTTAGGAGTAGTAGTAAGCATAGATGTGGGAATGAGAATTCATATTAACTCAAATATCCATGAAACCCATGTAGCCACAATGGGTATTAACGGGTCATACTTTATAGATGATCACGTAAGTTAAGCTAGTGGATCCACTAAGTTAAGTAGTTCTATGAGACAACAAAGTATAGGACAGTTCTGGCAATGTGGGCAAGACATTGTATCACCACTTAAGCTCATAGTGGTGGTTGTCGGTTAGACAATCTCCAACAAAAACTATATTACTTCATATATATTATGTAAACTTGAGTTGGTATTACATTTTCTTTAAGGAACTAAGTATTTACATTGTTTTACATGTTTTTATGTATTGCATATGTCTTGTTTCTTTATATTAAGTGCAGTTATTTATGAGTTGAGTAGAGCCAAGGTAAGTGTTCCTTCTTACTTTCTTTCAAGCTTACATTTTTGTTAGCATTCCAACTTGTATACTAGTAAATTCAATGTACTGATGCCAGTTGGCCTGCATCGTATGCAGGTAACCAGGCTCAGCATCATCCAACGCCTCATTGATCCAGCAAAGCACTATATTTACTGTTTTCAGTCTTTTCTTTTATAGAAAGTTGTAGGGTCTGTCCCAACATCCATCTTAGTACTATAGAGGCTTCATACACAGTCAGACAATTTAGTTTTGAGTCTGTAATTATTTATATTTCAGATATTCTATTATGAGATTTTAGTTCCCTTTTGGCTAACTTATTTAATTCAATTATTTTATGAGAATGTTTATTGTATTGAGTTAAATCTTCTGCTGAGTTAAGTAAGTCATGCCAAGAGTCAACTCAAGGCCAGCAGTGGTATTGAGTGTCGTTCATGTCCAGAGTGAAGGCTCAGGGCTTAACATGAAATCTCTTAGGTTTGTAGGTTCTAACTACTCGAAGATACTTAACGATTTTTGGTAAAGCAATGATTCGTGGGTTAATACTTAAAGTTTACAAGCTCTAGCACGTTCCAACAAGAGTACTGTAGTTTTCATAACAGTGAGAAGGTTAACATGATCAAATACATGGCGTGATATTGTAATATTAAGAATACCAATAAGATAACATTGATGCCTTGATGCGATTTACTAAATTTTTTATGAATTGTTTCTTGTTGACCGTTGGAAATGTGTAACATGATAAGGAGTTCAAGAAATTTGTTCAACTAATGGATTGAACTGATATATGCCTCAAAAATTTAATCGTCTTGACCAGCTCCTTACTTAAGAGATCAACTACTTAATGTTGATTAGCCCTTTAAAAAACCCTGTGGATAAAGATCTTATC